GTCCTCAAACATCTATTTATTTCCTCTTCCCTTGTCACCCTGGTAAACAGTCACAAACCCTTTTGAGAAAGGCTAGATGGGGGACCCAGATTCTCTCTGATCCAAGGAGCTCTGTTTTAAGGAACTAGCTCAAGTCAGAATTCTGTTCATCAGATATAGAGCTTTTCTGTTTACACAAATTGAGTAAAACTTTCAAAGGCTGCCATCTATTTCAGTCCTAGGGACACTGGAATCAATTAGTAAACACCAAAAATATCTACAGATAAGGGCCTTTCACCAAAACTTCCAAGGAGGTCTCAAGGATTCTTTTTTTTTGAGACTGAGTCTTGCTCTGTCACCCAGGCTGGAGTTCTGTGGCAGGATCTTGACGGACTGCGACATCTGCCACCCGGGTTCAAGTGATTCTCCTGCCTCAGCTTCCCGAGTAGCTGGGACTACAGATGCCCACCACCACGCCCAACTAATTTTTGTATTTTTAGTAGAGACATGGTCTCACTGTGTTGGCCAGGATGGTCTCGATCTCTTGACCTTGTGATCCACCCGCCTCAGCCTCCCAAAGTGCTGGGATTACAGGCGTGAGCCACCGTGCCCGGCCTTCTCTTCCTCTTTGAATGTTAATTACATGTTCCTAATTTTTCTCTTCTTCTTCTGTATGCACTCAAGGGCCCATTGTCACTATAATAATTGTCACAGCTTCCTTTCCCCATGCCTTGCCCTTTACCTCACTTCATCCCATGGTACCACCAGTCAGAATTTGAATTGTGACTCACTGTATGCCATGGATTACTCATGTTCCATTCCCAGTCTCCCCTCCACCACCTCCCACAAAGAGGTTATTGAGGGCCAGGCACGGTGGCTCATGCCTGTAATCCCAGCACTTTGGGAGGCTGAGGCAGGCAGATCACGAGGTCAAGAGATTGAGACCATCCTGGCCAACATGGTGAAACCCTGTCTCTGCTAAAAAATACAAAAATTAGCTGGGCATGGTGGTGCGTGCCTGTAGTCCCAGCTATTCGAGAGGCTGAGGCAGGAGAATTTCTTGAACCCGGGAGGCGGAGGTTGCAGTGAGCCGAGATTGCGCCACTGTACTCCAGGCTGACACCTGGCTACAGAGCAAGACTCTGTCTCAAAAAAAAAAAAAAAAAAAAAAAAAAAGGTTATTGAGTTCTTCAAGTATGACCAACCCAATCCCAGAATCTCATTTTAAGAGTCTGTCTCCAGGGGCCACTGCTGGTACCAATTACTCTATCAGTCTGGATCCCAAAAAGAAACAGACGGTGTATTTGTAATAGCATAATCTGAAGAGGGCTTAGTAGCAGAACCTAACAAGGAGAGGAAACAGTTACCAGAAAATGAGGATAGAGTCAGGTAGATTCAGATTCAGTAAGAGATCTTTGGTTGAGGGACAAAGCAGCTAGAGACAATCTTGCAGGGAGGGAATTAGAGGCAGACCAACTCTAATTAGAGAATTAGAGGAACTTACTCTCTTCCCTCCCTCTGATTTCCTCGGGGGAATACCTGGTGAGCAAACCCAAATGGAAGCCAGGGACCAGAGGAAATGTTAGTGTGGTTCATACAGATCAATCTGTGGAGACAGTGAGCTTAGAGAATAGACCTGAAGACATTGGCACCTGCTACACTGTGTATTACATTAATTAGATTAACGGGATGGTGGAAAGGCAGCCAGCGATGTAGGAACCAATACTTTCCCACAGTCTACAAGGAAGTCCGACTTTAGACCAGACTGTACAGTATGGTTAAGTGATTTTTATATCAATTCTCTTTGCTCCTCTGTTTGAAGACATGCCCCCCAACATTACTTCATAGACAGGGTAGTGCAGTCAAAGAACTGAATTTGGAGACAGGTTACCTGATTTGATTTTTTTTTTTTTTTTTGAGACACAAGTCTCACTCTGCTTGCTTTGTTGCCCAGGCTGGAGTGCAGTGGCATGAACTCAGCTCACTGCAACCTCCGCCTCCTGGGTTCAGGCAATTCTCCTGCCTCAGCCTCCCGAGCAGCTGAAATTACAGGCACATACCACCATGCCCAGCTTTTTTTTTTTTTGAGATGGAGTCTTGCTCTGTCGCCCAGGCTGGAGTGCAGGGGCACGATCTCATCTCACTGCAACCTCCACCTCCTGGGTTCAAGCAGTTCTCTGCCTCAGCCTCCCAAATAGCTGGGATTACAGGCTCCTGCCACCATGCCCAGCTAACTTTTTTGTATTTTTAGTAGAGACGGGGTTTCATCATCTTGGCCAGGCTGGTCTTGAACTCCTGACCTTGTGATCCACCTGCTTTGGCCTCCCAAAATGTTGGGATTACAGACATGAGCCACTGCAACCAGCCAATGTACTTTTCCAATGTAAAATCTTTAAATCTTTGAAGCCTCCTTAACAGTTATTTTAGACAGAGAGAGAAAGCGGGGGGAGGAGGGAGAGAAAGGAGAGGGAGAGAGGAGAGAGAGAGAGAGAGAGAGAGAGACACTCAGTATGTTGCCCAAGCTGGATTTGAACTCCAGGGACTCAAGCGATTCCCCAGCTTTAACCTCCCAAGTAGCTGGGACTACAGGTGTGTGCCACTGGACCCGGCTTTCTCCTTAACTTCTGAATTTAACTAAATTCTAATTTCTAAGTTACTACTTATTCTATATCCTCCACATCTCACTTAATTGATAAGAAAGTTTTAACAACTGCTCATCAGTCTTCTGTGCATGTTCAGCTTACTGCCAAACCCAACCAGGTCACAGATTCCTTTTTTTTTTGAGATTGAGTCTCACTCTGTTGCCCAGGCTGGAGTGCAGTGATGCGATCTCTGCTCACTGCAATTTCCTCCTCCAGGTTCAAGCAATTCTCCTGCCTCAGCCTCCCAAGTAGCTGGAATTACAGGCGCCTGCCACCACACCTGGCTAATTTTTGTATTTTTAGTAGAGATGGGGTTTCACCAAGTTGGCCAGGATGGTCTCAATCTCTTGACCTTGTGATCTGCCCATCTCAGCCTCTCACAGTGTGGGGATTACAGGAGTGGGCCACCGCACTTGGCCGATTCCCTGGTTTTCTTCTATAAATTTTAGTTTTATGTCCTACTTTTAGGTCTATGTTCCATTTTGGTTTTTTTGAGATAGGGTCTCACTCTGTTGCCCAGGCTGGAGTGCAGTGGCATGATCTTGGCTCACTGCAACCACCCTCTCCAGGGTTCAAGCGATTCTTGTACCTCAGCCTCCCAAGTAGCTGGGACTACAGGCATGCACCACCACACCCAGCTAATTTTCGTATTTTTAGTAGGCACAGGGTTTTGCAATGTTGGCCAGGTTAGTCTCGAACTCCTGGTCTCAAGTGATATGCCCGCCTCAGCCTCCCAAATTGCTGAGATTACAGGCATGAGCCACCATGCCCGGTTGTATGATCCATTTTGAACTAATTTTTATAGAATACACAGGGAATGGATGAAAGATTGTTTCTGCAATATATTCAATATCACTTATTGAAGACTATCTTTTCTCCACTGAATTGCCTTTGCACTGTCAAAAATCAACTGTACTTGTGTAGGTCTACTTTTGGGCTCTATTGTTCCATCAACATACACGTCTATCCTGTTTGCAACAATACAACATTCGTTATTGCGTCTTTATAGTGAGTCTAAATCAGGTAGTGACTCTTCCAATTTTGTTCTATTACAAAATTGTTACGGCATAATTTGCCTTCCCATATAAATTTTATTACTTTTTTTTTTTTTTAATGAATGATTGGTTATGTTGCCCAGGTTGGCCTTGAACACATAGCCTCACCTCCTCAAGCACCAGGGCAACTGGCCTGAGCCACCATGGCACCCCAATTTTACTTTTTTAGAGACAAGGTCTTACTATGTTGCCCAGACTGGCCTGGACCCCCTGGGCTCCAGTGATCCTCCCATCTTAGCCTCCTCAGTAGCTGGGACTATAGGTGACTGCTACCCCAGCACTCCACATATATTTCATAGAATATTGTGGATATTCTATAATTTGCCTTCCCGCATTTTATAATATTCTATATTTTATAGTATAGATCTTGTGGATATCTACAAAAAAGCCTATTGGATTGACTGGAAATGGATTGACCCTCTAGACCAAATTGGTGAAACTTCCAGTCCACAAACCATAGCAACTCTATTTATCTAGGTCTGATTTTTTTCTATCAGTTTGTTTTGTAGCTTCAGCACTTAGGTATTGCACATAGTTATTAGTCCCTTGGTATCCATGGGGGTTGGTTCCAGGACTCCACCCTCCCTTGCAAATACCCAAGCCCTCAGACGCTCAAGTCCCTTTAAAGTGATGTAGTGTTTGCATATAACCTATGGACATCATCTTGTATACTTTGTCATCTCCAGATTACTCACATCTAGTACAGTGCTATGTGGATAGTTGTCGTACTGTAGTTTAGGGAATGAAAAACCTGTACATACTCAGTACAGACCCAATCACTGTAGGCCTAACATTTTTGAACTGCAGCTGTTTAAATGTGTAGATGTGAAAAGCCAGATACAGAGGACTGACTGGATTTTCTTAGCTATGCCCCAGTATTTCTTTGGGTAGAAAAGTAGTGAGGTTAGTGTGCTCAGCTTTAAGTGTCTGCTTTCCCCCCGCTTAGATCTTTTATTTCATCAGTGATTTGTAGTTCTCAGCATAGGAATTCCATTCATACTGTTAGATGTAGTATACCTTAGTTTTAGGGGTCTGTTCAGCTTTATATCTGAGAACAATTGTAGGAGGATATTACTGAGAACTTTGGACATATTACAGACCACATCTCTCCTCTTCCCAACTGATGATCTTGGTTCTCTACTTAGGCTGTGAAATCTGACAGCATGGTGGGACAATATCTAGAACAGGTGAAGGGGCTCTGAATTCAACTGAGCTTCACAGGAATGTGTTGAGAACGTCTGACTGCTTCACACTATGAATGACCTGAGGAAAATGCTCAGATTCCTACAGACATAGCTGCTGCTAAGGATATACCACACACATCTGGAGTTCCAGCGGGCTTTTATTGAGATAAATTAACAAAAATCAAGATTTTACCATGTTTTTTGAACCTTATAAACTCAGCAGACTGTGATCCATGAGTACATACAACATAACACATCCCAACAAAAACACAGCCCCACTGGAACATCTGCCAATTAACAGAAAGCCAATTTTCCCTTTCCCCAATGTTTCAGAAATTTTGAGTTCCCACTGTTCACTTCTCAGTGGAACTGGTCCCTTGTGGCTAGGGACACTCGAATTCTCTATCATTTTTACTTAAGAAAAAAACAAATTTCTTTTCCTTTGTTTCAAAAAAGGGAACAGTGACTTTGTTTTCTCCAGGCGCCCCATCCCCCATAACCAATGGTTAAAATACAGCAGCCTGTCTGTATCTTAATAACCCAGCCCTACCCCCTCCCTTGCCCAGCACTGTCTACTGGAGAATTTAAATACACTTCTGTTGGAACCTGTCAGCTGTGGAGGGGCAGAGTCCAGGTGCCAGGCTAGCTCCCTCTGACCTCATGAACTGTGACAACCTTTGGACACTTAACTCTTTACCCCAAAGATGAGTTTTTAGATCACAAAGGAGAGTAGATTTTCTTTGGGAGTTTTAAAAAACTATTTTTAGAGATACAAAGTACACCTACAACCTCACAGAAGTCCACTGAAGTTCACCAAAAAGCTGACTTACTTCAGCTCTCACAAGGCCAATAATTTTGATAAAGGTATTTGGCAAGAAAATGATTCCACAGTAACAAATTTAAAGACCCCCTAGAACACTGAAAAAATAGCAACTTAAAATAACATGGCTTAATTCCCAAGAACTTATTTCACTTTTTGTTACTCATCTAGAAGGTCAGGAGTGTGGCTAAAGGCAGTTTCTGATGAGGTTATGAGCTTCCAAAGTGTTTCTAAATCCTTAGTGCAGACACCCTCCCTTTTGGGGGCAAAGTACCCTCCCTCCCGCCCTAATTAAAAACAAAACAAAACAAAACAAAAAACCCCAAAAAACAAAAACAAAAAAACAACAACAAAAAAAAGTCATCAGAATGAGATGTTTTGATTCCAAAAACTTACACTCAAGGCTTTGGCTGTGTTGTCTTGTTTGAACCAAGCATGATGTTATCAAGCACAAAGCATGTGACAAAGGAAAGATGCTCCCATCTCATTCTGAAAACAAATACTGATAACCAAGCCCACCCCCCAACCCTTTGGGGCCAACCCATTTTATACTGCTGGGACCAACTTGAAATAATTTAAGAGGTATATTTAGGTTTCCCTCTCCCTTACTTCCATGAAAGATCATTTTAGAATAAACTTATTCCACTCCTAAGGGAAAGGCAAAAGTTTCTATCCCCATTAGAATATATGGGGAAAGGAAAAACATAGGCCTCAAGTTGGCAAGGTGTGTAACAGTCCATGGCCCATTACACAACTATACAACCAAAGGCTAAACCATGAGTTGTAGTTTTAGTATTAAAAATAGGGGGTAGTTCTCATCCAAATGAGCCACTGGAAAATATTACCATTACCTTAAAAAAATACATACCCAATATTGGAAAGAAGCAAAAACAACTTCCAACAGTAACAATGCTTATTATGAGGGACCAAAAAAGAAAAAAAAGAAAAGACCAGGCTTTGACCTAGTCCTTAGAGCATCTTTCCATTTCACAATTCCTATTCAAGAGTCAACACCAAAACTGGACAGCTGGCTCTACAAGACTGTGTCCAGTAGTGGTGTCCCAGATAGTTTAAGTGCCACTCCTCATTAGAGGCTATACTTCAGTAATACTTGCAATTTTAAGTCTGTGCTTTAAGAGGGACCCACAGGCATGTGGCACCAGGTAGAGCAGTCTAAAGTTGGCAAAGGAGACTGCACTTTTTGTTTAGTCACCCACATGGTCTCTAGCGAGATACAGAATTGCATTTACACTCTTTTTTTCTATATGAATGATCCCTCTTATCTCGCAAGAGGTGGGGGAGAAAGAGAGCTGCATCAGTACAAGGGCAAGATTTTTTTGGTCAAAAGTTGACACCTTTTAAATTCCCTCTCCCACCCCTCCCTGGAAAAATGTTACTTCCTTAATTAGGGTTTCTATTTAGTAACCAAAATTGACCGGACAGAATGTATGAGACTTGGATTCCAAATAGATGAGCTTGCTCTTTTTGGGTTTGTACCGCGCAGCTCTTGCTACAGTTGTTAAGGAATTAGGGCTCTGTCCAATCAGGAGGCATCTGTAGGATTTTGATCTCCAAGTAATTGTGGGTGTCACAAATAAGTTTGCTCAGCAGTAGGCAGAGTCAAAAAAGCAACTTCAAGTAACTGATTTCTTTGTCCAGAAGAGTTCAAACGTTAATGTATATGCTGGACTTATTTTGTAATATTTTAGGGTTTTGAAAAACAATGAAATATAGAAATCAATTTTTTTTTGTTTTTTGTTTTCCCCCTTTCCCGATGCCTCCTGATTGACTTAGTACACTGGGTTAAAAGGGAATTAAAAACATTTAAAAAAAAAAAAGTTCACTGGTTTTGATTTATCTCACTCCTTTTGCCTGGAGATCAGGCCAAACATCAAGCATGTTGGGAGGGGCACAATTTAAAGCAACACTATTGACTGTAAAGCATTTGCCAGCAATTTACAGTGCAAAATGACAGAAAACAACTCTTGTCACAACGCAAGAGAATGGCAAGCAGCTTTCTGTAGCATGAAAGTTAACAGCTCTTAGGTTGCCCATTCCTGCAAGTTTATGTATCAAGGTGGGCAGAGGGCAACACATATACACACTACAGGAAATGATCCACAGAAAATTAAGCTCCAGAACTGCTAACGTTACCAAAGCCAGTACTGGCTAATATTCTGAAATGCAAATCTGTGCTTTATATATATACTACTCAACGACACTGCCACTCAACAGAATTCCCACACTGCAAGGTAGACTAATCTTTGCCCCCTTTTGCAGAGCTTGAAATATTCCGCAAACTTTTACAAAGGGGGAAGAAGCAAAATCAGAGCTTCTAAAAAAAATCTTCAATTATCAATGTTTTGAAGCTTCCTTGCTCTCTCTGGTCAACCTACTCCAAAGGTACTAGATGAGACAGCGTGGCAGCAGACAGTACACCCCAGATTCCTGCGTCCCTTTACTAACACAGGGTACCATAGAAATCTGCTCTCTACAACAAGAAGTACTTTCTAGAATTTAGTGTTGCGTAAAACTGAGCCCCTCTCATCTTTAGCTGCTCCCATAATCACTCTAATCCCCTTAATCCCAGCAACCTTCATCCAAAAAAAAATATATATATGTATATATATATATATGAACCCAGAAAAAAACTTATTTACAAAGTTTATACAAGTATACACACCCAATTTTCTATGGGACACGCTTTGCCACAGAGGAAAGAGGCTCAAGGCTCTGACATGTCTACACATCAAGTGCCATACTGCTACTGGAGGCGCGTGTAAACCAGTCTTTAGTGTCTGCTATAGAGCACAAAGGCTTGTCATATGGCTCCTGCAATGATAGACTGCTCTTTCCTTTGGGAGCGATGATATTTTATCTACTCAGCCCAGAAGAAATTTTTACTTGGGATTGTTTTTTAAATACATGTATTTACAGTGCGGATGAACTGCAGTTGCATTATCAACTCCTCCACATAAAGAAAAAGAAAATGGTGTTTAACATTACTAGGAAGTTTCATCTTCTAGCCCTGGGCTTGAGTATTGGGTAGAAAGGGAAGAGACTTCAACTTGAAACCAAATGAAAAGACAAAATTTTCTGAAAGAAAAAGAAAAAGGAAAGAAAGAGTTATTGTTGATTCCTTGGGCTGTCTAAAAGATGATATTCTGAATGGTCTCATAGCATAAGGCACTTCGCACAAATAAGTAATAAGCTCTTCAGGCTTAAAAAACGGATGAGTAATCAGGGAGAAGTTGAAATGCACTCAAGAGTCAGCTGTTGGAGAACTTTGAAATCATAGACAAGCTTGTGTGTTCATTAAGATTCTTCTCTTTTTAGGGTTTCTCCCCTTCTCTTCTTTCTTTTCCTTCCTTGTCCCCTTTCCCCAGAAAACATTTTTAAAAACCAGCAGTTAGTGCAACTAATGTTCAGTCAGCACACAGTGCAAACAAGTGGAACAAAAAGGTATATTCCTTCTTTTCAGCCTTTTTCTCTTCACCAGTTAAAAAAAAGAAAAAATGTCTGAGCTCCTTTAAGTCTTCATAGTTCCAAAATAAAAGATGAAAAACCCACAAAGAGAAGAGCGTTCCCCCCAAAACGATGTGTCACAGATCCAAACGAGCCTTCTGTAAGTTTGTCAAAGCCTATAGAAAAAGGGAATAAAAATTAACATTTTGAAAGCAATACAACTAGGATACACAGGTTTTCACAATCCTCATCCCAAATGCTCTTTTCTAGTGGTTTCTGCTGACCCAATGCCTATTACAGAATCTACTGGTTATAGGATTGAAGAATTTCTGGGTTGGGTACAGTGGTGCACACCTGTAATCTCAGCAGTTTGCGAGACTGAGGCTGGTGGATCACGAGGTCAGGAGTATAAGATCAGCCTGACCAACGTGGTGAAACCCAGTCTCTACAAAAAAGAATTTCTGGTAGGCATCCCTGAGATAAATTGGGGGCCCCAATCAATGTTCTGATAGCAGGCAGTCCTCACTCATAACGATTAAATCGGGGAGGGGGGGGGAATTTCACCTTACACAAACTGAATACTCTGCCTAAGTACTAGCAAACATTGGTAACTGTTAAAGTCTTAAGTGTCTGATGTTTAGCTTAGGGAAAACAGGGTGAAGTGAAGAGTAATTTAAAAAGTATTTAAGTAACAATCAATTGGGTGAGGTGGCTCCCGCCTGTAATCTCAGCACTCTGAGAGGCTGAGGTAGGCAGATCACTTGAAATCAGGAATTTGAGACCAGCCTGGCCAAACATGGTGAAACCCTGTTATCTATTTGAAGAAGAAAAAAAAAGAAGGCTGGGTGCAGTGGCTCACGCCTGTAACCCCAACACTATGGGAGGCTTAGGCAGGCAGATCACAAAGTAAAGAGATAGAGACCAGCCTGGCCAACATGGTGAAACCCCGTCTCTACTAAAAAAAAAAATACAGAAATTAGCTGGGCTTGGTGGCATGTTGCCTGTAAACCCAGCTACTGGGAAGGTTGAGGCAGAAGAATTGCTTGAACCCGGGAGGTGGCAGTGAGCCAAGATTGTGCTACTGCACTCTGGCCTAGGCAACAAGAGCTGAAATTCCGTCGTAAAA